TATAACATAGCAATTGAATATCGGCAATTGTTTCAATATTGTTCTGTCAATTGTCAAATATCGCGTCGTCTGTATTGAAGATTCTTTTCGAGAATGTACCGCAGTCAAAGGGTTAATTTCGATACCACGCACACCGTTACGTTATTTTAAATTTCATATATTAATTAATATCGAGCTTCGAAATTTGGTCAAATGGCGACTGAAGGGCGCCTCGCGAGTGCAAAGGGTTAATATACCTAAGTAGTTTAGAAATTCGCAGGTTCATCTCAGACCTTAGTTTTCTACACAGCATTATTAACCTATTCATAATAGGATATTGTGGTATCGCAGGATGAGCATGTTATCTAGAGTGCGTGCGAAAGGACGAATGATCGTGCGCTAGGATCGTGTGGACGGGATGTTCATGAATGTATCGGATGAAAGCGAAGAGTGGCTTTAGGAATGCGTTTGGGTGTTTGGGCTAAGTGACTCGCCGAGGGTAAGATTGCGAGGAGTGCGTGGGAAAGTGTGATTGGAAAGAGAGAATAGGTATGAAAGAGGATAGAATGTATGGTTTTAAATAGGGATGCAAGGGCGAGAGTGTGGGGTCTGTCGCAGTACGTGTAGTATATTAGAGTTCGTAGAGAGAGTTGTGAAAAAAGGTGTTAGTTGTATTCGTGTTGCTAAGTGTAAACGTGTTGTTAGGTATAATTGTGTCGTTGTAGTTATAAGAGTTTAGTTAATAGATAGATTAAATTCGTAGTCTTACCGTCTCCGCACATTCTATATTATATTTTATGGTTAGTAAATAGTTTTACATTATTCGTGTTCCACCCTATCTCTACAATATCTATCAGGAAAAATAGATATATCTTTAAATTATGCGCCAAAGAGGTTCCGGGAACGCGTGAAGTGTTTAATTCACACGTCAGATAAGATTTAGGGGACCAGGACGAGCTGCAATCGCATACCCTTTTGTCTTCGCACTCTAGTTTCGACTCTCTACGCGAACAGTCGGAATACTTCAGATATACCTTCCCTAGGAGAAAATAAAGATAATTATAAAATGCAGATAGTCATTTCTTTTTACCCATAATCCCAATACGGCTGGGATTGCACTCGACGATTTTTTGGCTAAAGAAGAGTAAGAGTTGAAAAATTTTCTGTTATAAAGATGATGATATTTTTTGAGCAGCAAGTAACAAATCGTATAATAATTAACACGCAGAATTATTTAATTTCCATACTTCACACAATGTCACGTTATTTTAAATTTGATGTATTAATTAACATCGAGCTTCGAAATTTGATCAAATGGCGACTTTTTTTGCGTCTCTCGAGTGCAAAGGGCTAAAAAGGGTTTTGTCTGTAAGTTTCGATAAATAAATTGCTGGAAGTTAGCTACGCCCATGCAACGATGACGACAGGCTTGTTAGAGGTTGCAGGCTAATACCGATCTTTGAACATCGAGGGGTCGGTTTTGGGGGTTTAAAAGGGCCTCGGAGCTCGTCACTCTCAAATCAGGAACAGTACAGATACCTTATATATTGAGACCCACGGGGGAATTAAAAAAGAATCTAGTGTTTCAATTGCATATTGCATAAAGTGTATAAATTTCACGTATATTAAACGCTTATAAATACAATTGCTGTATAACTGAACACGGTTACTTCCTTGCACGTTAATTATTCGGGTTTCTTGCACGAAATTCCCAACATAAATAAATAAAATAAATAAATAAATTAATAAACATTCGTTTATTAAGAAACACTAACACCGATACTAACACCAGTGTTTATAATTTGATATTTACGTAAA